GGCGGAGCTTAAGCTTCCCGTCTTGCCTGCTCCCAGGCTCCTCTCCAGCGTGACGCTTTTCGCATCCAGCTCCTTGGCGAACAGATGCACAGCCTGTAGTGGGTCCCCACAGCTCTGCGGGTCCACGAAGGTGCGGCGTGTTGGCACCTTGACTGGGGGCACAGGGAGGGAAAGGGGAGGGGGGCGCTGAGGGGAGGCGCCTGCTGGAGGATGGGGAACCACGAGGCAGTGGGCTAAGGGTACATGAGGCAGGTGAGGCCCGGCCACAGCCATGGCCAGACTCACAGTGGAAATAGAGCTCCTCTTCGTCATGGGCGTCTCGGCCTCCTTTGCTGTAGCTGCAGGGCCTGGGGGGACCAGAGTCGCCCTTTGAGCCTGGCCGCCCCTCACCCGCCCTCCCCTCCTGGAGGCCCAGCACTGGGCACCTGTCTGCCCCTAGGACAGGGCCTGTGTCCCAGCAGAGGGAGGGAGCCTTTTTGTCCTGCCGGTCCCCAAGCTTCCCAGTGGTTTGACAACCTCCCGTCACAAACACGTGGCAGCCTCGCCCCAGACCTGGCCCCAAGGGGACACCAGCAAAGTCTTGCCAACCCAGAGGCTTCCGGATCCACAGCCCCGACTAAGGGTCCCTTGCCTCCTGCCTCTGCGTTGGTGAAAGAGGGGGGGCACAAGGCAGGCTGATCCTGCACCTGCAGCTTCGGACCACGTGAGAAGATGCACAGCGAGCGGAGACTACACGCTGATTCTGGGGAGACCAGCAGTGGATCGTGGAAACACAAGATGGACGTGACCTGGTCCAGGTGTTCAGGGAAGGCTTCTGAGGCCAAAGGACTGTTCCAGAACCAACAAAGCCTCAGCCCAGCATGAGGGGGAAGGGGGTGGGGGGCAGTGTCTCCAGAGGCAGGGCTTTGCTGGCGGAGATAAAGGCTTGGCTTTCATTCTGGGAGCAGAGGTGGGTCCCTGGGGGGCTTTAAGCTGGGGAGTGCTGAGATCCCATTTGCATTTTAGAAAGATCTTCCTCCCTGCCCATGGAGCCTGCTGCTGTTTTCCCGGCGGGGTTGGCAGCCAGGAGCAGGCTTGGGTACAGCTTTGGACTTCAGAAGCAGGAAGAGTCAAGTGAGAGTTAGGGGACAAGAGCCAGAGGACATAGGGACAGCTGGCGTGCAGAAAGGAGGGGGACGTTAGGAACACCGGCAGACTTGCTGGCATTGCTCAGGGTGCTGCTATCCACCAGCATGGGAGAAGTCGGCCCAGAGGGACATGTATGCTGCCCAGCTTGCAGGGCCAGTGGGGGCAGTGCTGTCCTTAGCTGCCATGGCATCGGCCAGCCCCCTGGCTCACGCCGGGCGGAAATGATGCCTGGTCCTGTGCCACCCAGTGATGGTTTGCAGACCAGACCTTTGGGATCCAGAGGGTTGTCACTCACTGATTTTCCACAAGTAAACACCAGGCCTTTCTTCCTACTCTTAGTCTGCATGCTCTGCCCAACTCTGCTCAGCGTCACGGCAGCAGGCAAGCCTCCACTGACCAATGGGTGGTGGAAAATCAAACCCAGGTTGGCCTCTGGCCGCCTCACTACCGTCAAGTTGATGCCAGTCCAACAACCTGATAGGACAGGGCAGGACTGCCTGTGAGTTTCTGAGACTGTAACTGTGTCTTTCTCCAGCAGTGGTTTCAAACTGCTGGCCTTGCGGATTGCAGCGCAACCTGTAACCACTATGCCACCAGGGTTCTGGCGTCTGGTCTTGGTGAGAGCTCTACCACGAACTGCCCCTGCCGGCAGGGGACGAGGGGGCAGTGAATGAGGAGGGAGATGTGTGCATCTGGCGCTTGGGAATCTGGTCTAGGACTACATTCACCTTGGGAACCGTGAGCATTGTCCAGGGAGCGGGTGGCACCCGAGAGGAGAGCCTGGGAGCACGTCTTAGGAACCCCAAGAGGCTGGGTAACGGAGAAGGAAGCCAGGGAGATGGTTGGGAAATAATGGCCGAGGAAGCAGAGAGGACACCGGGTGGCAAGGCCCCGGGAACCAAGGTGCAGCAGGCAGCAGAGCCTGTGGGCAGTGAAGATGCCGACAGGGCTGGTCGGGCGGCCGTCTGGGGGACACCGTGGCCACGAGAGGGTGGCTCTGGCCTGGACTCCTGTCCCTCCACTCAGGCCTGGAATGGCCCATCGCCCTCCAATAAAACAAGGGGACAGAGAACCCCTGCCGAGTGAGGCAGATGTTAGCGCTTCTACGGCAAAAGGAATGCCTGGGGGCACCAATAGTGAAGTCCAAAGGCCGGCAGTTTGAGCCTAAGTGCTTCCGAAAGGTCACGGCAGTGACATCTATGGCAGCAGTTCTCAACCTGTGGGTCGTGACCCTTTTGGGGGTCAATTGACCCTTTCACAGGGGTCGCCTGATTCATAACTGTAGCAAAATTATAGTTATGAAGTAGCAACGAAAATAATTTTATGGTTGGGGGGTCACCACAACAGGAGGAACTGTATGGAAGGGTCACGGCATTAGGAAGGTTGAGAACCACTGACCTATGTGCCCCTCCTCTGCACACAGGGCGACAGCGATCACCACCACTGGGCGGGAGCAAGAGGGCATGATTACTAACAATGGATCCCGCCACAGTAAGAAGGGGGTTCTGGTAGAGAGTCCTGGACTTGGCGGAAAGACCCCACCTCTAGAGCCAAAGTAGGGAGAAGATGGGTGGGCAGGGAGGGGCCTTGCCAGGGGTGGGCTGGGTAGAAGGAGGAGTGAGAGGTGAGATGGGGTGGGGGCGGACAACCCCAGCTAGTGAGACTGGGGTGAGCCAGGGTAGACTGGGGAGGGAGACCAGAGGGGAGCAGGGACTTCAAGGAGCTGGAGCAGCTACGCAGCGTCTGCAGAGCCCAAGGCAGGCAGTGTCTGCAGAGCGTCTGTACGGCTGACCCACCTCACTTCAGTGCTGTCTGGTTTGAAATGGGTTTGGTCATACCCCCGCCTGGCTCTGCTCTGCCTACCTGCTTCAGAGCCTTCCTGGGCAGCAACTCCTGGCCAGCAGCCTCTGCATTTGCCCACCCCACAAGAAGGCGCTGCCCCGGGGCTCCCCTCTCTCCCCTCCCAGCCCTGAGCTCAGAGCTGGACAAGTACTCTGTGCCCCTCTCTGGTATCTGGCCCTTCCTTTCTGACTGAACCAGCACGGGTTTGGGGTCCTGAAGGCCCAGGAGGAGGGGCTGCTCCTCCCTTCCTGCTTCCCTGGCTCACCTGCAGCAGGCAGGGCTGGTTCCAAGCTGGGGGGGACAGTGTCCTCTCCTCTGCCCCTTTCAGGGTCTCACTAAGCGGAGCAGTCAGCCATGGGGAATCACCACGGTTTCCTTCCGCTCTCGCTGCCCCTCGCCCCCCACCCCCCATCAGTTCCAGCCCAGAGGGGTCAGCCTCCCCACTCTGCTGGCCTCAGCCCCCACTGGGGCTGCCTCTGCATGGAGTGGAGGGTGCCCCTAAGAAGAGGGGAAAGGTAGAGGAGACATTCCATAAACTTGCCCCCTGACAAACGTTTTGAAGTGCCACCCCACCCCACCCCGCATCATTGGGCCACGGGGATCCTCTTCCCCACCCCTCCTCCCGTCTCAGCCTACTTTCCCACAAGCTCTTTCTGCTATTAATTCTCCTCCTTGCCCCCTCCCCCACCCCCCACACACAGCCAATTCCTGCCTTCCTCCCCTGGTCTGTGTTCAGGGGCCTCCAGGTCCCCTGGGGGGCAGGGACTGGGGCCTTTGGGCTCCTGGGAGACCAGTAATCACACTGGAGCAGCAGGCGCTTGATTCCATCCTCAGTGATGCCTTCTGACATTTAATGAGTTAAGGAGCTAAATCCCCTTCATCCCTGAGCAGAGCGGGGCGAGTGAGCTAGCAAGCAAGCGGCTGAGCTAGCAGCAGCAGTAGCAGCAGCAGGGCTGGCTGCCTGCCTGCCGCAGGAGCCTGGGGGAGGGGCTGGCGCCCCGCTTGGGTCAGCACTGCAGTGTGCTTGGGCTGGCATATGCCAGTCGACACGTGTGCAACCAGGAAACGCCTGTCCAGAGCTGGGGCCTATGAGTGCACGCTGTGGTGCACAGGGACACGGCCCACCTACCTCCTCCACACAGCCAGCACGCTCACCACCGAGCCCAGGACCAGGAGGGCCGAGATGCTCACCACGGTGACGACCACTGCCGGGCTCTGGTCCCTGGACCCCGGGGCGGCTGCAGGAAAAGCAGGGGGCTGAGGCAGGCTGGGGAAGGCCCTGGGCACTCTCGTCTTCCCCATGGCAGGATGCCCAGCACCTCTGTATGTGGCCCGCCCACCAGAGCAGCCCGGAGTCTTGGGACTGGGTCCTCTGCCACACCCGGATGGCCAGCCCAAGGAAAGAGGGGCAAGGGTCCAGCACGGCAGGGCCCTCCTCCCCTTGTGCCTCTTAGCAGGCCAGCAGGGGACTGGAAGAGACTCTGCAGGGGGCATGGTCTCCGGCTGAGTGTCCCCCAGGCTGCTCAGCAAGAAGAGTAAGGCTCCTCTCGGATGGCCACTGGCTTCCCACAGCACGGGCAGTGCTGTGTGCCTTAGCTGTGTGGTCTGGTTTCAGCTTTACAGCAACCCACTAAGGAAATGTGGTTTCCATTTCACAGTCCAGGAGAGTGAGGGTCAGCAAAGCAACATCTCTGCCCCACGGTCACACGGCTCAGAAACGGTGAGCCCAAGATTTGAACTTGACTCCCAAAGCCCCCACCTGACTCTAGAGTCTCTGCGTTGGCCATTAGGGGAGCCTGGGGAGCCTGAGCTCCTCGGCTCACAGCACCTTCACCTCCACTTACTGTCATGGGTGCCCACCTTGTTCTGGCAGGGTGGGGTGGGGGGTGCGGGGGAGCCGGAGCCCCTGGCCTGGAGGAAGCCGGGGTGGGCAGAGAGGCTGAGACAGAAACAAAGCTGGGAATTGCTCAATCAAAGAAGACTCAGGGAGGCGGGCAGAGCTGCGCTGGGCCATTGCTCCCTGGCGCTGGCAGGCAAGCGTAGTCTGCACTGGGTCGGGCAGCCGAGCAGCTCTCCAGGCCATGTCAGTGCACACCTTAGGTCTGGAGAAAGGCAGGCCATGCCTCCTGGCTGGAACGCAGACTGCGTGGGAGCTGAGTGTCGAGATGTGGGGCCGCGGGGGAGGTGGGCAAGGGGGCCTGGGGTCAGAGACAGAATCCGGAAGGCCTTGAAGGCTGGGCTAACGAGCACATGCTGTGTCGGGAGGACAGCAGGGACCCCTGTGCAGTGGACAGAGTCCCTGCCGAGCGGGCGGCAAGGGAGCAAGGGGCCCTGCTGGGCTGAGGGTGGGGATGCAGGGAGGTGCTTGAAAGAGGTAGAGATGGAGAACTCCGAGACCAGAACATAGACCTCTCCCGGTACTAGGTGGCCTCAGCATGGGCCAGGAGAAGGCCAGGGGCCCATGTCTGGGCATGGGCAGGGGCCCTAACAAGGTCTCCCGGGAATGCAGGTGGGCAGGGCAGAGCTGATGGGCGTTCCTGAAGCAATCGTCTGCAGTGTCCAGGGACCGACTGATGTGGGACTAGGAGGGGGCTCAAGCCTGGAAGCTGTAGTAGGACTGTGTGGGATGCCACAGAGCTGGGGTGGGGTGGGGAGGGAAGGTTAGAGGCCAACAAGCCTAGGGTCAGAGAGGGGCCTTCAGAGCCCGAGGGGCCAGAGCAGAGAACAGGGGCCAGGGTGCAGCCAGTGGCAGACGGGGAGGGCAGCTTCCAGGACCATTTGAAAAGGTGGACACAGAAGCAGAGTGGGTGTGGTCAGCAGCCCTCTGGACCCCTGGCCCTGGTCTTCACTCCCCTTGGCTTCCAACGGACAGAACCAGCGACTTCGATGGGGTGTTACTTCCGAGAGGAGGCTACGAAAAGGCCGTGGCGTCTCTTGGGCCCCCTCTCGCACTCTCGCTGGCACACAGTCTCGCCAAGAACCCAGTCACTGCATTATAAGCATTCCTACGGAGAGGCCCACGGGGGAGGAGCTGTGAGCCTCCAGCGAACAGTCTGTGTGGGCCTGAGCAGGGCAGCAGGTTGTCCCCCTGGTAAGCCTGGGACCCTGTCGCCCCCGTGAATGCAGCCTGTCAGAGACCCTGAGCTGGGGGCATCTAGCTGAGCAGCCCGGCATGGCATCCCGACCCCCAGAAAGGAGGAAGTGAGCAATGCCTCGCTGCTGTAAGCCACCACGCTTCGGATGATTCCGCACTCAGAGATGGGGTATTTGGCAGCAGTGCAGAAGCCCAAGCCTGAGCCAGCCAGGGTCGGAACATACTGTGGGTCAGGAGCCGCATCTGCCCACAGCCAGGACCTCAGCGGAGGAGGCTGGGGACCTGGGCAGCCTCGGATGAAGGAGCAGCTCTGAACAAATGGCTTCTACAGCGAGCAGTCCCCAGCTGCTGCCCCCTGCACGCTGGCACCTGCCAACCCCAGGCTTCTTCTCAACACGCTTGCCTGGCCCATCTTCACGTACTCGAATGCTCCCCCGCCTTCAGGACAGGGGGGCTCTAATCTCCTCTTTCCAGGACCTGTCCAAGGTCTGGCTGGAGACAGGCATTCGAGCAAGAAGTGCTGTCTTCCTCCCCAGAACTCCAGCCCCCTCGACATTTATCTTCACTTCCCTTTGGGCTCAGAGCGCTTCCTATCTTGGATTAAAGTCATGTAGCAGGTTGGGAAGAATTATTATCTTGACAGCTGGTGCCAGAATGCCTCTTAGGGGGAACTGCCTCTGTTCAGGAGAAGGCTTGCGTGAGCTGTGCAGGGGAGATAGAGGTGGGATCCTGAGGGCTGGGTTAGCAGCAGACAGAACCACAAGACAGAGACCCTTCTGCCCACGCCAGGGAAGGGGGTTGGGGGCAGGCAGAGGAGGAGTGGGACCCTGGGAGGCGAGGGAGAGGGGACCGTAGGGGACAGTGGGGAGGCCAAGGGTGTGTGTGTGTGTGTGTGTGTGTGTGTGTGCAGGCTTCAGGTCAGGAGAGCTCAGGTTCAGTTTCTGTCCAGTATGGTTTGGATTAGAGCTTTAACTGATAGCACTCACACGCTATCCCAGGCCCCTGTTTCGAGCGTACAGTTCCCCTTTTGTTTTGCTTGGTTTTGTTGACTGCTGTGTGTCCCCTGACCTTCAGTGACCTCTGCTCCACACCCCAAGGCCTTGGGGGGAAATGGACCGTGTCCCATGTTTGGGTCCATATCATGGCAGAGAGAAAGCAGGAGACGGAGCACAAGAATCACGCACTCAGAGCCAGCGGTGACCTAGAGACCACAGGCAGCCCCTACCGGGAGAACAGCGGGCCGCTCGGGGCCGCAGGAGGCTTCCACAAGACACGGACAGGTCAGAAGAAGCAGAGCTGAGCGGCACAGCCAGGTGTCAGCCCCTCACCAGCAAGCTCCTCCACACAGGTACCCATCTAGTCTGTGCTGGTAAACAGGCCTTCATCGGCAAATTCCACGATAGTTAATTAATTAATTGGATTGCAATTAAATTGTTCTGCAGTAGGCACAGATAGCTCTCCCGACCTATGTGCCGCCCTGCCCTGCCAGACACGCTCTGTCCAGACCCCTCTCCACTTACCCTCCCCTGGAGTCTGCACCTCGATGCTGGGGTTGAAGCCCTGAGCCTCCCAGGGGGGCCCCAGGGATGCTGCCCGGATCTGAAAGACGTAGCGGGTGGCTGGCTTCAGGTTAGTGACGGTGACGGCAGGCGCCCCGGTCTTCACGGTGGAGTAGGTCTGCTCACTCTGGCCCTGTGGAGGGGTGGGGAGATGAGGGCCAGCTCAGGGAAGGCCACCCTGGAGGAGGAGCAGGAAGTGGAGGGGGCCTGCCTGTCTTTAGGTGAACACAGATGGGTACTGAGGTGGTGTTTCTTCCCTCAATGAGTGATACTGGTCCCTCAGGGGCGCTGGATCGACCCAGGGGGGCTGCACTACTGGTGCCTGCTCCTTATACGGGTTCATGGGCTATGGTGCAAAAGTTTTCTCATTGCCAGGAGGGTCCTGAGTAATTTCTTTTTCTTTCTTTCTTTTTTTCTGAAAAAGGCCAAACCGTTTGGGGAGCTTAGGATTTAGGGAAAATGCTACTGATCTCTTCTGTCGGACCACCAACCCCTCCTTCCACCACAAATCCCACCCCTCCCATGCCCCCAGAGCAGCCACACCTCCAAGTAAGAGACTCTAAAGCAGATGCTAGCTAGCTCTTCTTCTTGGGGTGAGAGACTGGTGGGCAGCAGGGCATGGCGGTCCTGGGTGAGCTGGCCCAGCGCCCCAGTGGGCCTGATGCCTCAGAGAACATAAGCCAGACAACTGCCCAGTCCACGCTGGCACACAAAGTTTTTCCACCCGATTGTGGTCCAATGTCCACGAATGTCCTGCTGGACATGGAAGACAGAGGGTGGTACTGCTTTAGGGGTGGAGGAGCCTGGGTGCAGAGGAGTGAAGGGGAGTGGTCACCACAGTGGCCATTATTGACTGAGTACCCACTCATTGCCAGTCACTGTACCCGCCACCTCCTTCCACCTTCGCACCATCCTTACGGGACTCAACACTTGTATGCCTTCCTTGCGAGGTGCAGAGAGATGAAGGAAGAGACTTCCCCGACTGACCCATCTAGGAATTATCAGTGTTTGCAGCTCTGCGTCACGCAACCCCCAACTCCACCCTCAGCGCTCTGTTCTGGCCTTAGCGCTGCCTCCAGCATGGTGGCTTTGCACGGTCAGATTGCCCTTCCAGGCCCTGGGCCACCCCACTGCGGACTGATGAGGGCTGCGGGGCCTGTGCAGAGGGGCAGGTTGTGGGAGGTAAGTCGGAGCAGGGAGTCACCTGACACTGCACTCCCAGGCATCGGTGCCATGTGATTTCCCTGCAGCCTTTCTGTTACACTCCTTTTGTACTTTCCCCTCTTTTTGAGGGTTTCTGTTTCGTCTGAAAGGTCAGCCTTTCTGACATAGGACCTGGCGGGCCACGCTTGGGAAAGGCGTACATATCTGGGTGACAGTGAGCAGGGACTCTGGTATACCATCCAGCTCAGCCTTGAGGGGAGGTCTATTTATGCTCTAAGCCCCAAGTATCTGTTCAATAGGCCCATGCTGAGCACGCACTGCTGCATTCCAATGTCCCGCACTGTCCTCTCCTAAGCCTCAGGGTTCCGCCTCGGTCATCCACCCCAAGTCTCCCGGCTCCAGCTGCCTCCGTAGGCCAACAGCCCCAACTCACTCACTCTCAGTCCTTCTCTCTCTGGCTGAGTGCTCTTCCTTACGCTTCAGGCCCCAAAGTCCATCCGGATGCCCCATGGGCCCCTTCACGAACAAGACCAAGCCCACCGGCTCGCCTCAAGCATGCTCCTCCTCCCTGGTCCTCCATCTCAGTCAGAGGCACCAGCATCTCTAGGGTCCCTGGACCACACTCCAGAATGTCTCCTCCTCCTCCTGCCTGTCCACCCCGCCTCGCCCAGCTCTCAAAGGCTGTCGGGACGCAAAATCCACCATGCGATTCAGCCACGAAATGAATGAGGCCTCACCAGGAGAAGCGTCTCCCTTCTTGCCACTGAGGAACGAGCTCAGTGCTGACAAGTGTGGAGCTCGCACTGAGGTTTCCCTTTGATGGCTATGATTAGCACTGAGCGTGAGAGATAGTTTAATAGTAGATTACATATCAGATGCAATTAGTTCCACAATAAATTTACGGGGAAAAGAGTTCACAACTGGAACATAACTCCATTTGTCAAATCATAGTTGGATGGCAGACACAGATTGACTACGGATACGAGAGGCTGGCAAAAATCAATGAAAAGTGTCCACGACAATCAATTTGGCTGCGTGGTGTTTACAATCAAGAGCCAGGCATGTTTTATGACTATTTGTGGGTCTATGTGTTATGCATCCTTTATATTAGTACAATTTATCATAATAATCCAGGCATCTACCTTTCCAGAGAGAGGGTGATTTACATTTGCCAGAACACCCTGGACCTAGCAATGCCCTCATCCGGTCATTCATGTTTGTAAAATTAGAAACGCATCTATTTATTGGGCTTAGTTTGGTTTTTGTAAAAGGGCCCTGCAGAGCCCACAAAGGGTCCGCCCCCAGAGAATGTTCTGGAAACACTAGGCAAATGTGGTCTCAGGATGAGCGGGTGGGGGTGGGGGCAGAGTTGATTTGGCCGGAGGGACAGAGAGAAGGGGAAACTCAAGCTCAGGAGACCACTGAGGAGACTGGAGGAAACAGGTTTTGCCGGGAGGAGGGTGTGAAGAAGGGGAGGCGGCCCTGAGAGGAGGGAGCCCACCCAGCGGTAGTGCAAGCAGCCTGCCCGCTGCCCGCTGTCCAGGACTGCACTCACCTTCTCGTAGTAACGGATCTCATACTCCGTGCTGTTGGCCCCGGGGGCTCCTGCGGGGACGGGCTCCCGCCACGACAGGGACACACTCTGGGGCTCCACCCGGTCCCTGCGGATCTCATCCTCCTCCCAGGGCGCTGAAAGTGAGGAACGTGGGGTTCTAGTCCGGGTGCAAGGAAGGGAAGGCATCGCGGAGCGGGGGGTGAGGGCGGGGCTAGGGAAACTGGGGGCGGGGCCTAATTGAATGTGGGCGGGGCAAGACACCCCAGAGGAGCGGGGCTGAGAGGAGTGTAAGTGGTTTGAATAGCTCCTGAGGGGGTGAGTGCTAATGGGGTGAGTGCTGGACTTCCTGTAGCTCACTGCCTTCTGAGTCAATTCCAACTCAAGGTGACCCTGTCCGACAGGGGAGACTACCTCTATGGGTTTCTGAGCTGTGAATCTTCACAGGAGCAGAAAGCCTCATCTTTCTACCTTGGAGTGACTAGTGGGTTTGAACTGCTGACCTTAGGTTAGCAGCCCATGCATCGCAATGCACTACACCACTAGGGCTCATTTCAGGGGGTTGAAGGGAGGCAGAAATCAGATGACAGTAGGTCAAGGAAGTGGGGACAAGGTGTACATAGCTCACTCTGAAAAATGCAGGAATGCGTGAGTCCCAGTTTAAATGGTATCCCTCCAGTCTCTTCCAAATTCCAATGGAAAAATGAAGATGCAGAAAGAGTTAAAAATTTACAACCTCACCCAAACCAGTCCTGACAGCTGATTGGCAGAATAGGATGCAGGGGTGCGTGCAATGGCCTGCTCTACTAGTGATAAAGCCTGTGGAACTCGACCAAACACTTGCAGCGGATGAGCCCCAGGGGCCATGCTGCCCACAGAGTGACGTGGCCTGTCATCCTAGAAATAACTTGAAAGCCCCTTCGTCGCTTCCCTCCCGTCTGGCCCTTGAAAAAAAGCAGGCTCTTTGTCAACCGGAGGGCATACAGCCACCTCTCTAAGGCCATGCTGCTTCTGGAGGCAACGTGTGCCTCCTGGCCCCTGGGCTTGAGTGCCTCTCAGCCTACCTCCACGTGCAGCCAGCAGTCCCAGGAGGGACCTGGGCACAAAGGTGAGGTGACATGGTCTCTGTGGACAGAGACAGGGACAGAGGGAGGGAGAGGCCTGGGATGTCCCTTTTCATTTTGTGTGAACATCATTTGTTTCAACACACTCAGTGGCCAGGCTATAGAGGGAGGAGACCGTTCCACTTCAGCACGTTACAAAGGAGCCTAATGGAGTCGGAGAAGAATAGATTCTAAAAACTGAGCTCTATTCATACATATATCGAGTCCCCAGAGATGCCGCTGAAAGCCTCCTGGACACTCGCGTCTCCCTTTCCTGCCTGCTTGCTGCGTCCACTTTGATTCACAGTCATCTGCTGTCCCCCACCACCACCCCCAGAAAGGAATTCAGGGAAATGTCGACTGCTCTGGAGTGTTCCCCGGCACACATTTCCTTTTGCTGGTGATCGGTTTAGGAGTATGTTTGTAATCCAGTTTGGGCCAACAAAAGGAGACATTTGATGAGGGGAGGGCAGGTTGTGGTAAAGGTCCACTGCTTCTAAAAAGACACCTACAAGGAAGAAATTGTTCTTTTCCTGCCCCTGGACAGTAAGAAAGCGAGGTCCGGAGCTGTGGCAGCCACCACGCCATCATAAGGGATCCAGCCTCTCTCCCGGCGGACTGGAAAGACAGAGAAGATCTGGGTTCTTAAGGACACCCTTGAGCTGCCAAACTCACCAAGTTCCCCCTCTGGTTCTCTCATGTGGGCTGAAGTCAGCTGGGCTGTGATTTTACCATTACATTCTGACAGCCTCATAGGCAATCCCAAGAGGGATTTACACAGCTGGATTCTGTTTTGCAACAACCTCTCTTTGTTCAAGAACAGGGCAACAGAAAATGCACTTGAACGTGGCAGATGAAAAGGTATTGCGGAAGAAAACAGAAACCGTGTTTGGAAGACTTGGGAAGAGCAGCCCCTTGAGAGCGGGTTAGCCTGATAGCTAGAGGAGCACGTAAGAAGACCTGATTTGGCACCTTCCATAAGCTGGGAAATGCACGTCACCACACAGGAGCAGAAGACCAGGAAGAGGAGCAGGTGCAGAAGAAAAAGCAAGGAGATCCTTAACAACTGAGAGGATGAGCAAGACGCTGGAGATACTAAAAATGCATCAGGACAATGGACATCTTTCCAAGGAAATGCATCACAAAGACCAGGGATGTTGAACAACACCATGAACGGAAGAGGAACTCACACCATGCTCTGTGTTTGGAACATCCAGTGGACAACGTGAAACAGAAGCATTGAGTCCGAGAATTTAGGTAGCTAGATAGCTCCATCACAGCAATGGAGCACATGGCTCTAAAGCAGCTGTGGGCCAGCGAAAGTGTCTGTACCACACGTCAGACCACAAAGAGAGCCTCGGTCTTTACCAAAAATGAACAGATGGCAACGGTTTCCAGGGCATGAAACCCAAAACTAAAGCAGCCAACGGAAAAATACACAAGTTGAACTTTATCAAAATTAAAAAGTTTTGAACTTTTATCATAAAGGTAGGCGACCTGGTGGTGTGGTGCTTATGCATTGTGCTGCAATTTGCCTGATCGGCAGTTCAAACCCCTCAGCCATGCTGAGGGAGAAAGACAGGGCTCTCTACTCCCATCAACAGTTTCAGCCTCAGAAATCCACAGGGGTTGACTCCATGTCAGTGAGTTTGGAGGGTTCTGGGGGGGGCGGGGTTGGTGATCGAAAAGTAAAAATAGAACCTACATAATGGGAGAACATATTTGTAAAACATATGCCTGATAAGGGTCTATTATAGAGAAGGCATAATGAACTCTTACAATTCAATAAGAAAAATTCATGTAACTCAATTTTTAAAACCTATATCCCTGCTAAGAAAATGTCCGCCAAGAGGGTCTCAGATGGAAAAGAAGACAAGATAGAAAGTCTCCACTCAAACACAGCACACTGATATAAGGTGAGATAAGTAAAGACCCAAAACACAAAACAGGATATGACAACTATGAACCCACGGATAGTGATAATAACTGAATCCCAATGGACTCAATTCGTACATTAAAAGAAAAGGCTGGAGGACTGGCTCAGAAAACATAATCCATCAATCTGTTGCCTGCAAGAGGCACATCTTAAGCACACAGACAAGAATATGCTAAGAATAAAGGGTGGACAGCAAGTTTACCAATCGAATTCTAACTCAAAAAGGCAGGGGTGGCTATGTTAATCTCCGACAATATTGACTTCAAGATCCAAACCATAAAAAGAGACAAAGAAGGACACTACATAATGCTCAAAGGTTCAGTAAACCAAGAAGCACTTAGCATATTGAATATCTACGCTTCCAATAATGGTGC